CGGCGGCAGAGGGAGCCCGCGGCCGGGCCCCGCGCGGACAGCGGCGGCCGGGGGCAGGGCGCGCAGGACTCTAAGATGGCGGCCGAGGACCCGGGGCCGCCTCCCCCTCAGCCGCGCGGGTCCCTCACCCCCCCCTCCCGGCGGCGCGGCCCGGCCCCGCCTCATCTCCCGGGGCGCGGCCCCTGCCCACCCGGGCGCGGCCGGTACCTGCGTGTGAGGTCAGGGGCTGGGGGCACCGGAGAGCGCTCCGCTTCCTGCTACCGTCCCGCCTCCACCGCGCCCTCCCCTCCGCCGCCATCTTGTGTCGGGACCCGGAGCAGCCAGTGCGCAGCCGCTGGGCCGCCCCGCCCCGGGTACTGCGCAGGCGCCGCTGTCGAACTCAGACACTGCGCAGGCGTGACTTTCTCCACGCCCCAGCCTCAGGCAATGCGCATGGGTAGAAGCTAGACTCGCGCTTCAGATGCCAACAATACGCATGCGCTAATCCAGCAGCGCCCTGTTGCCTTCCTGGCGCCATCTTTAGTGTGGCCTTATTGGAACTCCTGGGAGGCTCCTCCCCTCTGGGCGGGGCCAGGCACAGAGGCCGGCTGGGGGGCGGAGCGCTAGTCCCCAGGACCAGTGCTTCTATAGCCTGGGAAATTTCCCAAACTCTGGGAATTTTTGAGTAAAATGTTTCAACTTGGGAAATTGGGAATTTTCATTCAAAACCTAAATAATCCTGGGAAAATTTCATAAAAAGTAAAAAACTTTCCAAATCTCAACAGTCCTGGGAAGTTTTCATCAAAAGTAAAATATTTGCACTTCTTTTAAATTTCCCCCAAATACGTTCTTCGATTGGTGAATATTTGTCACGTGATTTTCATAATCGGGCCGTGCCGCTCTCCTATTGGTGGTGCTTCAACGTACTATATCATGACGGCACAAGTGAAGTGACAAGTGCGCACATGCACTCGCAACAAACCAACCTCAGCGACAGCTGGCTGACAGGTAATGAGACGATGGTTATCAAATTTATCTTCTAGGTAAGGTTTCTTCCAATAATTAAATATATTGCAATACTTACTGATTATGAGTAGTTTCTTGATCTGTCATTAAATCCCTACAATTTTGTATTTCGTGCTTGCAGTTGCATTGAGAATGTGGACCAGAGCGTTCGGCTGTTCATAAATTTGTAACAGCACCTTCCTCCAGGCAAATATTAAATATCTTCGCCTACTGTGTTGGGTAATAATATATAATATGTTCCCTTCTTTGATTTAAATATAAATTGAAATATACATTATACTAATTATCGCATTCCATTATTTCGGAGATCTCTTTCCATTTTTTATCTAACATAAAAAATGACTAAAGGGACCAGTACGGCTGGTGAGAAGAGGAAGAGGACTGCAGGAGTAGACAAAGATCCGTCCACGTCGAAACGAAAACAATGGGATAGCCCCCCCCCCGTATTGAGGACTCGGGGTGAACTTACACCAGAAGAGAAGCCATCTACTTTCAAAAAAGCCTTTCAAGACTTGTGGCTTCAAGAAGGTAAATACAAAGACTGGCTGCAGAAAATAGAAAACAATTGTTTTTTAGCTTATTGCAAATGTTGTGATGTAAAAATCCAGGCAGGTACTAGTGCAGGGGTCGGCAACGTTCGGCACCCGGCTCGCAAGGGTAAGCACCCTAGCGGGCCGGGCCAGTTTATTTACCTGCTG